CTTTTCCCATCCGGTGCCCTATACAGGCTTTCATATTTCCTCATTCCGATGCCCCCATACTGACTTCGTATGCTCTTCATTCCGGTACCCCGTACAGGCTTCCGTATGTCTTCATTCTGGTGCCCCATAAGGCTTCCTTATTTCTTCATTCTGGTGCCCAATACTGGCTTCCGTATTTACTAATTCCGGTGCCCCATACAGGCTTCCGTTTTTCTTCATTCCGGTGCCCCATATATGCTTCCCTATCTCTTCATTGGGGTGCCCCATACAGGCATCGTGTTTCTTTATTCCGGTGACCCATACTGGCTTCCGTATTTTTCATTCCGGTGCCCCATACAGGCTTCCGTATTTCTTCGATTCGGTGCCCAATTAAGGCTTCCGTAATATGTAGTGATTTAAGTCTATTTCGACTTCCAATGAAAATATTTATCAAATCGCTATAAACAAAATATGATTCAACTATATGGTCAATGAGTAACTTTTTGGAAACTGTAAAACAAAACACCAAAAATATAAAGTTAGGAGAAACAAAAATAATATCACTTATAAGACTGTACAAAGTAAGATTTTGAAGAAAAAAATGCATATGATATACATTTAGTGTAATTCTCAGAGAATCTTACTGCTGTCGTTAAACTTTGTTCCGCACTTCCACTGCCTGCCCTCTGTGTTATACGACCTCTGAATATGGAGTTGATAGTGTTATAGAAACTTGACTTGCCGGCTCCAACTGGACCGATCATCAAGATTCTTGCGTCCTTGACATTCAAATCTTCTAGAGGTTTGAAAGCTACTATATCCTCTGTAAGCTCATCTAGAAACTGCAATGTGTATCATATTTTCTAAATTTTATCTTATTGACTTTAAATCCCTTCCTTTTTTTATTTATTTATTCATTTATTTATATTTGGTTTAACGGTGCACCATCACTCTTTAAATCATATGACTCCAAAACAGGAAAGACCTCTAACCTTAAAGCCAACCCCAGCCATTTTGTTTAGATTTGGAACTGCCTCAAGTAAATGAAGGAATATAAACTTGTTATGTTCTAGAATCAAGTCCCACCAGGAGTCGTGATTATTTCCAGCCAAAAAAAAAAGCTTTACTTTGCCCTGTAATGTAAATTAATCCCTGTAAGCAATCCTTATAGACGTCCAAACGAATGATCTAAAATATTCTAAAATAAAACATGTATTATTGATTTGGTGTATATATCTTATATAATGAAGTTAGAGCTAAATTTTACATAGTAACATACTTTTTCATTCCATGCTTTTGTTTTTCGCCAAGGCTCTGATTTTGAGACTCTTTGACCATCTGAAAAGATGTAAAATTAAATTAAATATACTATTGCTAGTAGTTATATTTGTATCATAGGTAAATAACATCATGTTTTGGATCAAAACATTTAGAATACCATTTTATTGTAGTGAAGTCATTCATCATAAACAATACAGTTTATCTCTACCTATTTTAAGTATTACATGCATAAATCATATTGATTGTTGTCGAGTTTGAGTTAAGATGAGTACTAGTATAAAACTGTTAAAATGCCTTTCAGATCTTGTGTTAACCATTTCTTTAAGGATTCAGCTACATATTTACAGTTAAGCTAATACATTCATCAACATTCATTTACGTTAAATCAGACCTACCTTTCAATCTCGATGTTTTCTTTCACTTTAAAATATATCAAGTTCTTTCGATCCCATGACTAGAACTAACAGATGACAAACAGAAAATCTATTGTGAAATTATTTATCAATACAATATTAAATTTTAACTTATTCTCTTAGTAATGATTAATATCTCCAGTGATTTATACACTTGTAATGTGGAACTTACCACTAACTTTGTAGACCTGTAGCTCCGTGACGTTCATATTGCCATTGTTGATATTGGTTGCAGTTAAACCCTGGGTGTCGTAAGTGTGCCCAAAGTTCATGCCACCATTTAGAGTAAAGTAAGTGCCTGAGCTGTTCACTGTGCTTGAGAAAGTGTGGATGTCATGACCACCACCAAATGTTGGACCGTAAGATTGATGACAGTACAGAGCATTCTGATAATTTGCTGATTTTATTGGAAATTTTGTGGACTTCTCATTTCCACTAAATCGTAGCTGATACAGAAAAGCAGAAGTATTGTTAATCCATTGGTTGCTGCTATTCCAGCTGACGGGAGCAAAACCACCATACACTGATCCTTGTTGATTATACAACACTGTGACTGTAGGTCCCTGATTATCACATTTCTGATGGAACGTTGTAGCATTACATCCATCTCTTGTAATGGCGTAGAGAAGCGTAAATGTTTTAGGACCTGTGCCTATCCATTGTTCTAGGTGGTCCATATCTTTGTCCGTTAACTTTCCTGTCATTGTACCTCTGAATAATTACAAATATGTGTTTACCATTATTTACCATGATAATGTTAAAGTAAGTATCTTGATTATATTTGCAGTTTATCTTTTTTTGTAAAACATTAAGATATCCAAGCAACAAATATTAGTTAGATTGAAACTACAAAAAAAATGTATGAAAACTTAATTCTTCAAAAGACAGGCTGTAGCTAGATATAATTTTTCTTTACTTTATTAAACACTTTGCAATACGGTTTGGCAAACTATTAAACTATTCTAGAATTTAATGACACAGAAAATAAATCAAGAGGGCAATGATGACCTTTATATCGCTCACCTGATTATTAAGGCTATAAATTAATATTGTTAGCAATGAATAAAAGCAGATAAACTGTAGTAATCTTAAACTGATATCATAATGTCACTATCTGCACCTGAAGTAGTGCAACTGTAAACACAGTTTTATTCATATATGGACTGCCACCTAGTTTTTGACAATATATGACCCATATTTTTATTTGAGCTAGAAATCAACTGAACAACCATAATTGCTAACAAAATTCCAGGATATTTTTAATGAAAATATTACATTTAAAGCGTTAACAAGGATTATCCAATATTTGGGCTGTGTGGCCTAATTTTTGACCCAATATGAACCATATTCAATCTTGACCAAAAAAATCAACATAACGACTTTTCTGATCAATTTAAAGGACACTGAGCTGAAAATATTGCGTACTTCAATGTGGACGGACGACAGACGACGTACATTCAACGATCCTCATCCTGAGCCAGTTCAGATGAGCTAAAAGAAATCCTCGCATCAATGCTCGGGTGATATTTTTTCAAGTTTATTTTATTATAACCTATTGTATGATAATTTCTACTGGAAGTAAAAATGTTAGCTCATAAATTTTGCTAATAGAAATCAAATATGATAATTATTTGATAATATTTTATTTAAACTAGACCAGTAAGTTTTTTTTATTTAAACTAGACCAATCAGTTTGAGTTCCGACTTTCAACACTTTCAAGTACGAGATCTTTAAAGTATTGATAGATTAGTTTATTTTTGAGAAAAATCGGTATCCTAGTGCGTTGTAAATTACTAATAACAACTTCCTGTCCTCTGTTTATATTTAGGTTGATATAATAGAGCTCTACTGTTTACCTTTAGCGTAACAAAATGTGCAATGATTTTGTGTCAACCTTATATTTTTGAAAAATAGTATATTGAAAAGCAATCTTTTCAACCCTTTCCGCCAAACTTCGATGTAATTATAATAGCCGAGATGTTCCGATTGATTAGAAATATAACAATGTACTAAAAATGACATTATATGTACTTTCTGCTTTCTAATATAATAAATTGTACATTTTATGCGAGTATGCTATCAAGTATGCTAGAAAGTAACCGCGTTTAACTGGTATGAATTTGTCATACTGCATTCATTTATCTTGTAATGTTCTTTATCACATGGAATATTGTGCATGTTCTCTTCACATTTACTTTACGTTCATATGATTAATTAATTTCCTCGAACAGATAATTCTTCATTCACAGCTGTTAACACATTATCTCATTTTGAAACATTTAAGTGGATTTTAAACATGGCCGTAATAATGAGTTTAGTTTTTGTTTTTAACCTCAAATATGTTTTGTCTGTTGTCTTGTATCGACCTGTCAATATATGCACTGCGCAGTCCTCATTGTTTACTAATGTTTCAACGCAAATAATAATCCCTAATAATTTAAACATATCGGGCCTATCAATTCAATCAAATTGATAATAAACTATACCTTGAAGAAGAATTGACATGTACTGATTAGAATTAAAATTAAATAAATTTAAAATCACTTGCTTACCTCTTTTTGCTGTAAACCAAACCAAAATGATTTCAGTTTAATCAAAACGAAAATAGAATTTCAAGAAACGAAAACGAAAATACGATACAAATACAAACTGTCTACTGTTGGGAATGTGATACTCGGTTTTGCCACTATAGAACGTGGTACTATCACACTAACAATACATAATAAAAAAAAGTCTTTTAAAAACACTTTTACGCAAATCTAATCAACTATATCACTAATATTTATGTTTTATTCAAGCAACTGCTGTACCATGCTGTACCCTGCACTACCCCTATGCAGGGATAAACGAAACACAACAATAAAGAACCCAAAATATTATCTACAGTGGATTTAAACAAGACGGAGGCCCAGATACCATGCGTATCAGCGTAAATATTTTTCAGAAAACCTCAAAAACGCATTTTTTTCCGAATTCATGCGTCACCATTACGCACGAAGCATATAATACTTGTATTCAAAATTCATGCATGAAGAATCATATGGAGTTACCATTGGATAGTTTCAATGGAGATGTTTTACTGTTTGCAAATATGCATTCCTATCTGCTTGGATAAAAATATTATGTCGCCAACAATGGCAAGGTTGCTAACTTTAAAGTCCTTAATATTGACAGAAAGTAATAATTTACCACTTTATCAGATTTTATTACCGATTTTATCAACTGCAATAGAAACATTTGATTACCATGATTTTTTCTATATTTATTGAAAAGAGGAAACATGGCTTATGTATGTTGTAAACATGTATATTTTGATGTAATAATTAATGTTATACTGTACGCCTTTTTTTAAAAGTGAAAATGATTTTTTTACCGATGATTGTTATAAATATTACACCATGTGCGTTAGTAATGGAAGAGAAGTAGTTCGGACAAACTTTAAAAATACAATAATAATAGGACCGTAAGTCTGACAAAAATCATTTCATAACATGTAGCAGCTACTGTTAAGCAGGCGACACAAATATCATAAGCGGGCCAAAACGCCTTTATATTCAAGGACAATATCTCAGCCAAAAATCATACAACCAGAAAACCCGTTAAATATACAAAGTATTTAAAGTAAGGTGCTGATCGTTCCTGTAAAGTTTCATTTAAATTGAATTAGTAGTATAAGAGAAGTAGTCAGGACAAACTTTAAAAAATCATAAAAGGGCCATAACTCTGAAAAAATTCATTGAAACCGGAAAATGCCTCGTATATCATTTCCGTAAATT